TTTTTGTTATAGCTACTACTTTATTTAATTTAATAAGAGTAATAAAGTGACCTACATACTTTTCATCAACAATAATGAAATCATTGATTTTTTTTTTTTAATTTACATTCGTTGTTGAGACAAATTGTTTTGAGAGTTTGTCAATGACAATTGTTATAATTCTTGTCAATAGAGGATGATAATAAATAATTCAAAATATATAGTTACAATATATTTGTTATAATATAATGATATAGTAAACATTAGGTTACAAATTTCTTTAGAAGTTTTCATGCATTCATAAAATTCTGATGTGTAAACTTGTTCAATTGGAGTCAGTGGGATGTCAACATTGTCAATTCGTTAGAAAATGGTCCTACCGTTTTAGAGTCCAGGTGTAATTGTATTTATGATCAACAACTTTGTAGTTAGGTCATGCAGGCCTGACAATGATGTAAGAATAATTTTGTCCGATAAAAAAATAATATTATAATATTTATGTTGGAAAAATAGCATTAAAATGGCATTTTAAGTGGCTATTTTGTGGTACAATTATCAGTGGGGTCCACTTCCGATTTGGGTCGGGTCAAAGTGGATTCGGGTTCTTCGTAGTGAGACGAAGAGATTGATATATTGTACGCTCAAAACGGATAATGGGTGAATGAGATATTGATTCTCAAAGTAGACCCATTGAGTTGGAAAAATGAAGGGAAAAAGTGAGCTTTTGTCCCACATTGGTTTGGAAAGAGGATTTGACCCCCCTTTTATACAAGAGCTTTTTTAGAGCTTGTAGAATTGTATAGCATAGAGGCTCTCTTGCGGGCGGGCGGGGGTGTAAATCAAATTCCAACTAGAGATGTTCGGAAAGGCTTGATTCAAACCCGAGCTCGTGTGTGCCGGCACCTACGGGCACGAATGTCGTCTGGAAATTGGCTGGCCTTGCGGGCTAAGTTATGCCAACTTTCGGTATCATATTTTCCAACACAATAGCCACTTGGGTTCGGCCAAGACCGAGACGAGCTCGGTCCAGGCCGAACTGAACCATGGTTTCGGCCTTGGGAGGCCGAAACAGAACGCAGCAATGTTTCGGCCTTGGGCCGAAACTTGGCCAAGCTGAAAGTTTCGGCCTGGGGTCGAAATTTGGTGAGGCTGAAGGCCAACAGTCCATTAACTCCAGTTTTGAATTGTGAATTTAATTCCGTTAATGGGGGTTGCTGTTTCAGATGTTACACAACGTGTAATTAAGGCCATGATAAATGCTATTAAGTACTCCTCCCCTATATAAGAAGGGGTAGAAGGTAGAAGCTTTACACACTACGAACAAGTAAAAGAGCTCTACACGGAATTAGTTTTCAAGCTTCAAAAACTTCTACTTCTACTCCTTTCTTTAGCCTAACTGTGTTCAAGGCTGTTGCTCTAGTTCGCCGGGTTCGTTCGTTTGGGTGCTCAAACGTCGAACCGTAGCGCGTTTTATCCTGGGAAACCTAGGCCACGGCGCTCCTAGCACTTTTGGGAGGTGGCAAATAAGGTTTTAAGGAAAGAGTGGTCTCTTGACTCACGCTAAAAACCCGTACCCAAACACGAGCCATCATTTCCTTCTTTCGGTTTTGGATTATGCTTCTAAGCAAAAATCCTCCTTTTATGTTATAGTTTGGTTGGAATTATAATATGTGTATTATAAATTCCTTTTGGTTGATATATATTGGTATATCTTTTTCGTAGATATACATATATATATACATAACCGTTGGATCCGTTATATATATATATATATATATATATATATATATATATATATATATATATATATATATATATATATATATATATATATATATATATATATATATATATATATTTGTATGTGTATATATGTATTTCGGATAAATATCAAATAATATTTTATATACTTGTGTGTGTATATATAAATATTATTTTACGATATTAAAACGATTTTGGTTCATTATCTCCAACAATCTTAAAACCTTATTTGATTTTGATAATGAACAAGTCGGTGGATTCCAAGAGTATTGGATCCGTGAATGTTGCCGGAGGTGCACATTCAAATGGTCGGAACGGCAACGATGTTGCACATTCCGTGATGCCGGTTGATGGCAGCAACGTTGGAAATGATATTTCCATGGGAGTTGCAAAGACACACGACGGTGCTCCGGAGAACGTTGGTTCACGAACTGGTAGACCTGTGGCTCGTGGCACACAATTGGTACCTATTGTGTTGCCTAGTGGATCGACTAAAAGCCACGAAGGATCCTATGATGTTGTGATCACTACATGGTCTGAGGACTATTGTAGTGTGACCAATGACTTCAACCGTAATCGAAAGAAACTCAAGCGGAAGCTTAGCTTTCAAGAAGATTATGAGAAGAAGGAGAAATGCCACTATGAAGCGAACCATCATCCTGGTGAGAAGGTTGAGGATAATTTCGCTATGTTCAAAACATGTGGATGGTTAGACGAGTGAGGTCACAACCGGAGGTACCCCCGATGTGCGCTATGGACCACCCTTCGTGGAGTGGACGGTTGGAAAATGGAACAAGGCACACGGGTTGAAGGATTACTACGAAATAGGAATAATGGAAGTTAATTTCTAATGTAATTTTCCTATTTATTTATTTGGAATAAATGTTGTAGTATCCTTATGATACATTTTATTGTTGAATAAAATGAATTGTTCCATTTGTGGGTATTGAACTTTGTATATTTTGAAATATTCTTGTGTAATATTTTCAATATATAAAAGATTCAATACGGGTGCGTAATGCATCATGGAGCATTATGTGGAAAATGCTAAAATGGCGTAACGGCCGAAATTAAATGTAACAAGCGTGTTACATGTTGAAATCCCGCAACGAACTTCGGCTCAGGTTCATGTAGAACGATACGGATTTCAAGAATCAATTTGTCAAAAATTGAAATAACTATATAATCGTGAGCGTAACAGCTCAAGTGTTGAATATTTTAAATAATATTCTAAGAACGATTATATGAGTTTGATTCAACTAGTCGGAAATTTGGTTGATTTGTTCTTGTTAATTGTGTTATAATTAACTTGATCAAAATTCCAAATTATACTAGTATGAAATATGATTTGAGACAAATTGTTGGGACGTCAAATTAAGCTTGAGCTTAATGAGAAATGCTAATTATATTTGGCATTGTTGAAATGCTAATTGTGGTGCTTAATAGCATTGGACGTCCAAAATGTTGAATTAGCATTATGCAAGAGGCTAATTAAATTTAGCATTGCAAAAAGTGTTATGTGATTAACACGAAAGGAGGCTTGGCTAATTGTGTAATTAGCTAATAATCCTTGTGCTAGGTAGCACTGGAATTATAAATTTAAGCAACCGAATGTTGCTGTGAATTTATAATTTAAAGCAATAGAGATTGCTTGGGAATCGGCACGTTAGTTTGAGAGCAATGATTCGTGCTTGGAATAGCATGTTTCGTGCTTCATTACTAAGCACTGATTCGTGCTTCAATTTTTGGAAGCAATGATTCGGGTTTATGGCCTTTCGGTCAAAAACCGAATGGTTTCGTAAAGGCTAATCTGTTAGCTTCTACGAGATGTGTTAACGTGTAACACATGTTTATTCTTTATGAGAATAAAAGGGATAACCAAATTAATTGTGAATTAACGCGGTTACGAATGATCGATGTGGTGAACATGAAACACCGATTGGTGATTTCGGCGCAAGTGTTAGTGTCGTACTCGAGCGTACGGTACGGTATTCACCTCAATCGAACGTTGTTGCCGAACATAAATATCAAGACGTTGATAAGTTCGGGTCTACCTCAAAGTATGAGGGGTGAGATGATACTTTGGACAAGTAAATACCTTTTAAATAAGGTTGCCCACATGAAATTCTTACGAATTGTGGGTACGTAGGAAGTTTCCTACTAATGCCCGAAATGTGGGGGTGTCTTGCCAAAGGTGTGTATTGATTCTTAGTACACGAGTCCTAGGTCTTGAACGTACATAAGAACACGATAAATTGATTCAAGAAATTCATCGTTCTTGGAAGATGGTTTTTTGTGAAGGATCAATAAAGGACCTAGCACGTTGAAAGGAACTTTAGGCGTAGCTATGGTTGAAGGGTGTGAAAGAGAACCCGAGCTCAAAGCTAGACGTAGCAAGAGAGCTAGGATTGAAAAATCCTTTGGTCCAGATTTTCTGACGTACATGCTAGAATGTGACGCACATATCTAACTTGTTTACTAGAAAATAAATTGGACTTTCTGACAAGGTTGTTAGAAAATGAGCCTCGAACATATGTAGAAGTGGTGACTTCTACAGATGGACCAACCCGAGAGAGGCTATTGAGAGTGAAATAGATTCTATCTTAAAGAATCACACTTGGAACTGGTTGTTCTTCCTCCAGGTTGTAAAGCCTTTGGATCCTAAGTGGATCACTAGTCGGAAGATAAAACCGGTTGGTTATATTGAAGTAAAATGGCCAGGCTTGTAATTGTAGATTACATGCAACGCGAATGCCACGGTTACTTCGATATATATTCTCTTGTGATGAGAATGGAATCCATTAGAACGATACTTGCCAAAGTCGTTTAGCGAGACTTGGAAGTTCATCAAAATGGAAGTGTCGCTTTCTCAGTAGACATGGAACGACCTGAGGGTCTGTGGTTCCACGATGTGAAAAGAAAGTGTGTATTTGGTAATGTCATGGTATGATTCGGAACAATTGCCTTAGTGTTTGGCATGTGAGGTTTTGATCATGCATTGATGACCAACGAGTTTAGTATAAATAAAAGTGACTAGTGGGTCTACGTATTGCGTACGATAGACGGTGATATCACTGTTTGTTTATACACGATAAACTCAACGTGGGTAGTAACGATCAAATGATCAATTCTACCAAGAACATGTTAAATTCGAGATTTGACATGAGAGGTGTGAGTTTGGCAGATTTAATCTTCGAGATTAAAATCGTGAGAAGACCGTATGGTCTCGTGTTAGGCCAATCTCAGCGAGTTGATTGAATCCTTTCAAGGATAATAATCAAGTGGCTTGGACACCGTTAGATACTAACGTACAACTAGCCAATAATCATGGAGATTGTACTTCTCGTGGAGAACACATTCAGATTATTTGGTAGTTTAATTGTATCTAATGGGTTGTACTAGGCTGGATATTGCCTTAGCGGTTAACAAACTCGGTAGACATTTGAGTAACCCTAGTGATGCACACTAGAAGGCAATAGTGAGAGTTATGAGATACTTTAGGTATGCTCGTGACCTTGGACTGCACTACGTGTAGATATCTAGCTGTACTTGGAAAGTATAGCATGTTAACGGGATATCAAAGGATGATAAATCCATCAAAGGCTACGTCTTTACGTAGGCAAGTGCAGTCGGTTGGATGTAAATTCTCGAAATGATTTGTGATAGCTAAGATCCGACGGGATCAAAGCTGAGAGCCTTACACTCGTGTCGCGAGCGAGTAGGCCGAATGGCTATGCCATTATTTCGAGAATGCTCCTAGTGGTGAACTCGTACCTCCAATTTGTGTGCATTGCGATAGTCAAGCCAAAATTGGTTAAGTACAGAGTTAAATGTGGAATGGTAAGTCTAGACTTATAAGTCGTAGATATAATACCATTAAACAATTTCTCACAACGGGGGTTATCTCTATTGACTACGTGATGTCAAAAGATAACGTAGCGGCCGCTAACTCGCTAACCCGAGGGTAAGCAAATGGTTGTTGAGAAGTTGGAACGAGGAATGAGTCTAAAGCCCTTGGACTAAAAGTTCTATAGTGGATACCCAACCTAGCTGGCACCTAGGTTCAATGGGACAACTAAATTATGGAACGGAGCGTGTCACTGTGGGGGTCTCGGACTCCCTACCACTCCTCGTTAGAAACAGTGACTCCCGCACGAGGCTAGCATGTTGATGCTTTAATGATTCTTGAGTATGCGGGATACTCGAGAAAGAATCACCTATGTAAGAGAGAAGTGAGGGTCGCTTCAAAGGAGAATTGTTGGGCACAATTCTTTAGAAACTCTCGCAGAACCAGGAACGGTGACCCACGACCAAAATGGGCACACTGATGAGAACAGAGCATGGTTGGGAGGTTCCTGTGTGAGATATGTCATCGTCTACACAAACGGCAGTCGGTTCAAAGACATCGCGTTCTACCGAACAGCCAGTAGAGTAAACATTTCTTCACAAGGGAAGGTTCAAAGGGTATAGTGACTCCCTACCTATCCTATGCAGGGATCGACCGTTTGAACACAGTTGTTTCCGATTTCAAAATACCCCGAAAATCAATTTTTCATTCATGTGGGGGATTGTTGGAAAAATAGCATTAAAATGACATTTTAAGTGGCTATTTTGTGGTACAATTATCAGTGGGTTCCACTTCCGATTTGGGTCGGATCAAAGTGGATTCGGGTTCTTCGTAGTGAGACGAAGAGATTGATATATTGTACGCTCAAAACGGATAATGGGTGAATGAGATATTGATTCTCAAAGTAGACCCATTGAGTTGGAAAAATGAAGGGAAAAAGTGAGTTTTTGTCCCACATTGGTTTGGAAAGAGGATTTGACCCCCCTTTTATACAAGAGCTTTTTTAGAGCTTGTAGAATTGTATAGCATAGAGGCTCTCTTGCGGGCGGGCGGGGGTGCAAATCAAATTCCAACTAGAGATGTTCGGAAAGGCTTGATTCAAACCCGAGCTCGTGTGCGCCGGCACCTACGGGCACGAATGTTGTCCGGAAATTGGCTGGCCTTGCGGGCTAAGTTATGCCAACTTTCGGTATCATATTTTCCAACACAATAGCCACATGATTTCGGCCTCCCGAGGCCGAAACTAGATAGTTTTGGCCAGACCGAAACAGAACGCAGCAATGTTTCGGCCTTGGGCCGAAACTTGGCGAAGCTGAAAGTTTCGGCCTGGGGCCGAAACTTGATAGTTTCGGCCAGACCGAAACAGAACGCAGCAATGTTTCGGCCTTGGGCCGAAACTTGGCGAAGCTGAAAGTTTCGGCCTGGGGCCGAAATTTGGTGAGGCTGAAGGCCAACAGTCCATTAACTCCAGTTTTGAATTGTGAATTTAATTCCGTTAATGGGGGTTGCTGTTTCAGATGTTACACAACGTGTAATTAAGGCCATGATAAATGCTATTAAGTACTCCTCCCCTATATAAGAAGGGGTAGAAGGTAGAAGCTTTACACACTACGAACAAGTAAAAGAGCTCTACACGAAATTAGTTTTCAAGCTTCAAAAACTTCTACTTCTACTCCTTTCTTTAGCCTAACTGTGTTCAAGGCTGTTGCTCTAGTTCGCCGGGTTCGTTCGTTTGGGTGCTCAAACGTCGAACCGTAGCGCGTTTTATCCTGGGAAACCTAGGCCACGGCGCTCCTAGCACTTTTGGGAGGTGGCAAATAAGGTTTTAAGGAAAGAGTGGTCTCTTGACTCACGCTAAAAACCCGTACCCAAACACGAGCCATCATTTCCTTCTTTCGGTTTTGGATTATGCTTCTAAGCAAAAATCCTCCTTTTATGTTATAGTTTGGTTGGAATTATAATATGTGTATTATAAATTCCTTTTGATTGATATATATTGGTATATCTTTTTCGTAGATATACATATATATACATAACCGTTGGATCCGTTATATATATATATATATATATATATATATATATATATATATATATATATATATATATATATATATATATATATATATATATATATTTGTATGTGTATATATGTATTTCGGATAAATATCAAATAATATTTTATATACTTGTGTGTGTATATATAAATATTATTTTACGATATTAAAACGATTTTGGTTCATTATCTCCAACAATTTATAAAGTAATGTACAATTGTACCATTATAAAAATACATACAAAAAATATTAATATCATAACGACCTAAATCATACCAATAATGCAAAAGTATAATTGAAATATTAAGTTTTGTTCTGATCTAAATAATCAAAAGAAGATTAATTAAACGAAAAAAAAACTTAACCTAAATTTGTTTGTTTTTTTTTTTTTTTTAAATGCATAAAAATCAAATGATGATTTTTAAAGTTCTTGATTTATAATCTTTGATGCTTAACTTTGAATGTTATGTATTTAGCCGGACTAATTATTTGAACAAAGTTTATGTTAAATTTTATATTAGGTTAGAGAAGAAAATAATATAATAGAGGGTAAATCTAGAAAATTATTAAAAAAAAATACTAAAATTAAAATAATATGAACCATTCATTTTAAGAAACAATACTACTAACATTTTTTTTTGTTCCAGTTAAGGGGTTAACATTATTGGCTCTTATTAGAATTGTATTGTAGATAGATATATTGAATTATTAACAGTGAATTAAAAGTTTCCAATAGTTTTCAAAAAAAAAAGAAGTTTCGAATAACGTATTTTGTATGCATATATCATATTTTCATTTATTTATCTACTTATCAATTAATTGATTTCACGTGTATATTGTCCTGATAAAGATCATATCAATTGATTTATTTTGACATATGTTTTTATTTTTTTACTTATTAAATTTATCTCTGATCCTAGTGTTCATTTCTTGGTGTAGTATGCAATTAAGAGCAAAAAGAATTTTAGGACTAAATTGAGAAAAAAAATGACTATAGCCAAAGACTAAATTGGACATTAACTCTTTATTTAACACGTAAGAAAGTTGCATTCAAAAAAAAAAAAAAAAACACGTAAGAAAGTTGAAATCTAGTTGAGACAAAAATGTTTGAGAGAAAATATAAAAGTATGTGTCATTATTCATGTCTCCCAAATTTGTGGTAATCTAAGAGACATGAAGATTGAAGACACTTAGGAAAAAATGAATTCTATTTGAAACAAAAGTGTTTGGATTCCCATATGGGATGTTGTGAGTTCGAGTCTCAGTGGATGCGTTATTGACTCTATGTGCTTCAGTAGATTTAGAAAGTGGTTATAAACAGATACTACATTGTAATAGAGTCAGTAGCATTCCAAAAAGTGTTTGAGAAAAAATATTTGTGAAAAAAAAAAAGTAGTTGTCAAGTGTCAATGGAAGTTAGTATGACAGTATGTGTCATTGTTCATGCCTACCAAATTTGTCTTAATTGAATAGACGATGAAGATTGAAGATGCAAGGAAGGGAATTGAAAAGCAATCATCATCTCAACAAAAATGCAAAATAAGATAACATAGGTGCTAATTGTTGTAAAACCTTATGTGGACATTATTCTGTCTTTATATTTATGATAGGATTCTAAACACTGTAGGATTCCTAATACTGTAAGAGTTCTAAAGGTAGATAGATTATATATACCATTGTAATGTTGTACAGAGATATGATGATAATAATAAGAAGTACTTTTCTCTGTCTATTTCCTCTTCCTTTTCTTGCGTTGATATTTTTGTTTAACACGTTATCAATCCTACGCGAATGAGGTTTTCCATCTCTGATCATCAGCTTCAACGCCATTCCGCAAGCGCAACATTCTTTTTGGGAGTTTCTGTTCACTAAGATGCCTGATTGATATGATGAAAACTGGTATCGTTTTCTTGCTCAAGAAACTAATGTATACAAAAATAGTGCCAAGCAACTTCAACCCTAACCATATCCTACTTAGAAAAATTCACCACAATTCAGAGCATAACATGCATCAGGTAACTAGACATAGTTCAATATTCATAAGCTCCAGAATTCCACATCAAAATAAGATGCATTGCTCAAAATCAAGGAAGAAATTTTTGCAGTTCCTAATAATTGAAGAGTATGTATTAGAAGTCGTAAAGGTAAATAGGTAATTATTTACATCAGGTTAAAAGGCCACGCAAGTATTTCATGGGCATGATGTGCTCAATGCACAATGTGGGTCGTGATCATATGTTTCCACATTGCAATGCCATAGCTGGACAAAAGATGGCATTCTATTATATCAGGAGAAAATGTCTTCCCACATTCATCAGAGAACATGTTAGGCTACTAAGTTTTTAGATAAAAAGAAGAACAAGGATAGATTAGATTTGTCAAAGATTGTCTGTTTGGTTAAATCTAAATGCTAGAATTTTTCAATGACATAATAATCCAAGACATCTTTTTAGTATAATAAAGTTATTGGAATCTTTGAGGTAAAAGCAGTTGATTTTCCAGGGATTACCATTTACAAATTTGCAAACTAATCTGGAATGTGTTTATTTCAATTGTTGTATTCTCCTTATTTCAATTGTTGTATTCTCCTCAAATCTTGGTTATGTCTCATTCACTGATCTGCTATAAGAACATTTGTCATCAAGTACATCCTCGCACAAATTTTTTTTTTAAAAAAATATATAAGATCAGTAATTTTAGTAAAAATTAAAATTATAAACAAGAGTCCCTAAAGTAGAATAAACAAAGATTAGGAATTTTAGCTCTAATAGAGGAATAGGAAAATAAAGCTCAAATAGAACTTTTCTATTTAGGCCTTTTTTTTTTTTTTAAACAGAAAAACATATTCAATCAATGAAAAATATATCACGCCAAAAAAGAAATGCAAAAAATTCAGATTGTAGATTTGTGATATAAGATTTAAAAATTACTCAAAAGGAAAAAAAATTCAGATTGTAGATTTGTGATATAAGATTTAAAAATTACTCAAAAAACGAATTAGTTCGTAGATCTACGAGAACATAGAAGCACCGAGACAAAAATTTAATTGCATGAGGTATTTATCAAACTGCAAATACTAAATATTAGAAATAAGCTGGAAGATTAAAATGATCTAAAATATAATTTAGGTTTTGAGAAGCAAAATAAAGAATCTAAGTTAGAAAATACATACCTTTCTTCGTATAAACTTAAAAATGAGCTTGTGTGGAGAAGATTTTACGGATTCAACAAATTCAGACGGTAATAGAGAGAGATATCGAGAGATGGTGATGTCCGGGTGAAGTGAGACGATTTATGCGAGAGGATGAGAGTAAGGAAGTCTGAGACGGTATTAAAATTAAAATTAAGTACCTGCTGTTTAATACAATGCAAAGGCCAACTATCAGCGGCGGCGGCAGTCGGCGGCGAGCTTGGGCGGCAGCGGCAGCGAGCGGATGAAGATCGGCAGTGCGGTGGACGATGAAGCAGCGACAGTGCGGATGGAGATCGAGCGGCGGACGGCTGATGGACTGCGGGGATGACTGATGGACGGCGGGGACGACGGTTGGAGAGCGGCGGACGGCGGATTGATCGGAGCGGATGAAGGGTTTACACGTGAGATCTGATCGATATGCTATTCTATTATTCTAGGGTTTTATGGATTAAAAATATAATTTGCGATGAATGAGATTCTATTATTCGCGTCCAAAGTTACTCACTCTAGACGCGAGTGATGAATGAGATTCTATTATTCGCGTCCAAAATACAGAGCTTTGGACGCGAATAATATTTAATAAAAAATAAAAAAGAAAATTATTTATATAGTGGCATTTTAATTACAAAAATGCCACCAAACTACACTTTAGGCGTCCAAAGTTCTAACTTTGGACGCGAATTAGTCGATTTTATTGATGTTTTTTGTACTAGTGATAATGACTTATGAAAAAGTCTTGAATTTCTATCCTTAGTGTTATGCTATTTAGTCCAAAATATTTTATGATCATGTCACAAAGTTATAATGATATAGTTATTTAAAATGCTGTGTTTGAAAGCTGGAAATAAATTACATCATGATAATTTGCCTGAAGCAAATTAGTTGTATATATTTGATGACGTTGACTCCTCATATATATGTTTATAAAATAATTTTTTTTTGAGATCCTGAATGGTCTCACCATCTATACATCTATTTGACGTTTAACCTACTTAGGATGGTTGTGTACTCGTATAATTTCATTTAATTAATATGTATGCTTTCTCTATTTGGACATATATGTGCATATACTTATGAGTACTCCATACGTTGCAACATTTTTTTTTTCCAAATTGTAAAGACCCAAATCTTTTTAAATTATGGCATGAACAATTGGGTCAGTTAGAGAAAACATAATGAGTCAGATATTGGATTTTCTTACCTATATATGAGTAAATTATAAAGCATATGTGAATGAGAAATTACCAAATTATCTATTTTTGGGGATATTAGTATTAATTCAAATTTGACTCACTGCATATCGTAATTATTCCCCCCATACACATAGTACGTGGTAGAATTGAACATTTCCCAATTTGTGTTTCTATTCTTAGTATGCAGTTCATTTTATTGTATCACCACCTCAGCGTATCTCTGTGGGCTATAAACCTCCGTCTGTTGTTTAAATACCTAGAGCCCATTATAGGGGATCAATAGATACGCTGACTGCATACCTAATGAAGATTATTTCTCGACATTAGGGGGAGATAATAAACTAACTTTTAATGGAATGTCAGGAAATTTCATAGAATGAAAACATCTTCATTATTAAAAATCCATGTACTAGTTAGACTGAACTAGAAGTTCAAAAGATAGTCTATATATTTGCGACTTTAGCAAATAATCTGCCAAACATATCTATTGATCATAATGATCATAAAAGAGTGACTAGGTCCATATACCTTCCCCAACTTGGACCAAGTGTATCTACCGATACTCCCTGACACTAGAAGTGTAGGAGATCTATCAGTGAAAAGAGATAAGAATCATAATACTAGATCTAGTAAATAAACATTGTCACCCAGCCCTTGGAAAAGCTTGAATAATTTAGTCATCGAGATGTGACACCCCGAAAATCTATCCCTTAAATGGAATTAATTATTTAATTAATTCTAAGCTTGCCTTGTAAAACTCTCCTTAATTCCTTATTAAAATAGTTTGAGGACCAAAAATGACTAAAATCCTTAGTCAACAAGTTGTACATGGTGCCTTATGCCTTGTACCTAGTATTTAATTCCTTCCTAGCCTTAAAGTGATTCAAAGGGGTCCACCCTTGTTACCACTTTTCAGATTTTAGCCTAAAGACCCTACCCCAACCAAGAGAATCCTCAATCATTCCAACTTTTGGTTGTTTGTGTGATTTTTGGTTTGTGTTGGGAAGACCTTGTAGAGGAAGAGTTCCAAGAGGAGGACTAGGGGTTGAAGAAGGTGTATTTTGGCTACAAGAGGTAACCCATGCTCTACAAAACCTATTTTATACTTGCTATGATGATTCTTGATGTTCTATTGATGTTCTTGATGTTCATGAGTGAAATGATGCATATTCTTGTGTTTATGCATGTTTAGAGCTTGTATCTAGGGTTCATAAATGCTATTCTTTGAGCTATTCTTGTGGTTCAAGTTCCTTTGATGATTGATGTGAGATTTTGGGTGTGTTGGACTTGAACTTGGCATTGTTGATGTTTTTCCCCGAAGGGAAATATTTGTTTCGCAGGTGGTACCCGCGGGAGGAACAGCGAGGAGTTGCCCACCCGCGGGGTACATGTGTGGTGGTGACGGGGGGGGGGGGGGGGGGAACGCGGGTGGTTGTCCACCCGTGGTTCCACCTGCTGGTACCGTGTAGGGGGAGTGGCGGGAGGTTGTCCACCCACCGTTCCGCCCACTGGTACGTGATGCTTTGGCCTCCGTTTTGTTGAATCGTTGTGCAATTATATGTCTCATTTGATGTTTCGTACGTCTAGAACGGTGTCCTAAGTATCCATGATAGGATTATGAGTCTTGAATCATGATTAAAGGTCCAACTTTGTGATTCGTTGGATTAATGTGAAGTCTTGATGTTCGTTTGAACCGTTATGGTTATCCTATTGATTTGCATGCTAGTTATGATGTTGTTGGTACTAGTATGTGCTTGTTCATTCGTTCTCAATGAAGATTGGTAGCTTGTATTCACCAATCAATGTAATCTTTGTATTAAAGCCTATTGTTATCGTGTTATTGTCTTGATTGTTCATTTCATGTCTTTCATTGAAGCCTTACGATTGAATCCCTCGTTGTTATCTAGTACATATGTTGTACTCTATTGATTGATCTTGATTGGGTTATTGATGAGCCTCAATCCTC